GACTGCTCAAGCCACCCTTGACTTCTGGTTTTATATTGTGCTTTAGTAAGCTTTTAATGACTATTTGAAGTACTGACTAGTAATATCTTAGGAAGGAAGATTTATTTTGGCTAACAGGCTCTAGATACGCTATCCAAAATTGAGTGGCTTCATGGGTCCAGGACTGGTGGGGGTGGAGAACAATGGAGAGCCCATTCATTACAAAGCAGACAAGGAAGCAGAGAGCGATGTGAAGCTTAGTGTGCCTCTCTTGAGAAGCACCTCCCTGTTAGTGCCTTCTCATTAGGCTCGTGCACAGCCCAGTTGCCGTGCATAGATTTAATCACCATCAATTCACTGGAAACTTATCTGTTTACCAGTATACATATTTGTTTTGTGTAGTTGCATAACATTGCCTTATTTCAGAGAACATACTGTATTTTTTTCCTTTAGGAACTTGTTTATTTCGCTAAGCAAGGTGCGCTCCTCTCCAATTGCAAATAGTGGACTGTTGCTATTGGTAGATTTTGATTATTTTTAATGGATATGTATGTTTTGATGAAGTAGATATAACACCTTTTTGTAACCGTTGCGATTCTATGGACACAAATTATTAGTATATGATTGCTGTCATGCATTGTGCTGCTGTATATATAGGTATGCAGGTCACTTTCTCATATTCAGAGTCCAATTCATATGGATATATTCCCAGAAGTGGGATACCTGAATCATATAGCAGATCAGTTTCCACTTGCCAAAGCACTCTCCATACTGATTTCCATAATGGATGGACAAGGTAGTCTCCCCACCAAAATGGAGCAGGTGTACCCTTCCCCCTCATTCTAAAGTCCTCGCCTTGCATGTGCCAGGATCCAATATGGTCACCAGTTCTAATCCTGGCAGTCCTGCTTCCCATCCAGCTGCCTGTTTGTGGCCTGGGACAGCAGTTGAGGACGGCCCAAAGCCTTGGGAGCTGCACACATGTGAGAGACCTGGAAGAGCTCCTGGCTCCTGGCTTCAGATTGGCTCAGCACCAGCCATTGCGGTCACTTGGGGAGTGAACCTTTGGACAGAAGGCCTTCCTCTCTGTCTCTCCTCCTCTCTGTGTATCTGACTTTGCAATAAAAATAAATAAATCTTTAAAAAATAGTGTGTATTAATTCTTGAATATTTTTCATAGCTTGACTCTCCTCCTCTTCCAGCTTTTTTATTTCCCTCCCCATTGTTAAAGAAAATATCTTTCAATTCTGACATTCTTTTCTTCTGCCTCATTCTGTTATTGAGGCTTTCCACTGAATTTTTAATTTGTTCTATTGTGTCCTTCATTTCTAATTATTTGTCTTGATGATGTTTCAGCGTTGCTATTGCCTGTAGGACATATTCCCTAAGTTTCTTGAATGCTGTTTTTGCTTCTCATTGTTGTTTTTCTTTATACCAAGTTTTCAAAAATTCTTTCTTCCCCATTTTTGAGATTTCTTCCTCTGTTAACTCCGAGGTTCCTTTGTAGGGGAGACGTCAGTAATATTCATTGTGCCTCTGTCTCTTCTTTTGCTTTCAGCATTGCACATCTGCCTAGCAGATACCTCTCCTTAGGGGACACTTCCAAATTGTGTTGCCCACTGGTCTACAGGCCAGTTTTCCTTGTTTCATTTAGTACCTGGTTCTTTCTTCACAGTCACTTGTGCTACTTCCTCCAGTGAATTTCAGTCTCACATTCTTGTGTCAGACTTCCACCATGGTCTCTGTAGTCCCAGCTCTCCGTTCTCCACTTTCTACCCCCTATGATCCTGTGCTATGGCTTCACCTTTCCCTCTACATCCTTTTTCCCACTCTCAGGAAGAACAGTGCTTTTGAGTAAAGAGTCACCAGCTGTCCTAAGTTACAGGGTTGCCAGCGGTGCTGCTCTTGCTGAAATCTGCTGGCCATTAGATCTGAAGGCCACCAAGATCTATTTTGGGTGGAACCAATGGTATAACATTTTGATACTATTTTCCCTGTGAAACTAGTACAATGCATTGTCCTGGAAGTGAATTCTTCTCTGGCTCAGTGACTGCAACCCACTGTTGTTTCTTCAGTTGCTCAGCCTTATCCTAAGTACACAAAATGGGACCCCATGTGGCACTCATTGGAGTCTGGGCCTTCTAGTTGATAGATCTGGCACTACCTAGACCTACCTTGAATGGATTCTGTAGAATTCCAAGTCAGTACTCTTTTCCCTATGGAATTAGTGCAATACATCGAGCCAGGAATTAGCTTGTTCCTGGCTCAGTGCATACACAGCTCTCATTGATCTTCAATCACAGCCCTGCATCCTTTTTCCAAGTACACAGAAAGGCACGTGATGTGACAATGGTGGGAGTCTGATCCATGCAATCCACCCTTTTTCTGCACCTGACTGATTGGGCTCTGCCACTACATTCTGCTCATGGTAAAATCAAGCATATCAGCAGCATGGGCAGTGCTATACATGGATTCAACTCCTGAACTTGAGGTGAACTCCCCTTCCCACAAGGCTGTTGGTGAATCTCTGATTGCTGAACACTAATTGCCACCGGGGTACCTGGTCACTGCACCACTGCTCCACTGTCTTTCCTCTGCTTTCCCATGTCCACAAGTCTGCAGTGTGTTTCTACTATTGGTCTGGCCTCTCCTATTTCCTGGGATCCAAGCCTCTATGCCTCACCCTGGTAAATGATTCTCCATCTCCTTAATGTATCCCTTAATCCATTCCTCAATCTTGTTTCCCCACTACATACTTTTGAATGTGTCATTGGAACAGAGTGCAAAAGCATATTGTAAGTTATTGAATTTAATCCTGGTATTATGCAATCTCAAGGAGGAAATGGTGCTTTTTGTTGTTTTAAAAAGGTGATCCTGACTGTGTGTGTTCTTTCAGTGTGATTTCACACACACAATAAATATATATATAAATAAATAAATATTGGATTGTTGTGAAGTGATACTAATACTAATGTGTCATTCTTGCCCATAAACTGCTTCCTAATGGGATTCAAGGGATGTTGCTGCTAGTAATTGTTTAGTGTGCAAATACAATCAGTAGGTAAAATACTAATTTTAAATTCTTGAAAACATATAGTACATTTTAGCTTCGTTGATTTTCTGTTTGCTAGGTAGCTATTTCTCATTACCAATGTGGTGCTTTAGTAACACATTTCCAAATTTAATATTGGAGAAAGTGAAATGAAAGAACATAATAATCAGGTGTGCTGCTTTAAATATTTGCAGTAAGAAACAATCATGTATTTATCATATCATCAGGGTTTCTTTTGCATTGGTACTTTGGTAGGCCCTTTCAAAACCAAGGAGAGCGTGCCCAGGCCTCATCTCTAGAGGGCAGGTGTCAAAGGATTAGTGATTGTCTGCACCTTATGCAGTCTTTGAAAACATTCTCCTCTCCCATGTCCATGGTATTATAGTTTCATGTACTTCCAAATGTGATGGCTTTATTTCCCTTAATGCTTGCACAACACCTGATATAGTGAAATGCTTCCTAAGTGGCATTTAATATAGTATGTGGAACATAAAACATTTGCTGAGCCCCTGAGTTCCATGGTTAATTCACTAAAGGTCATAAAGGTCCAGAGTCATCTGTTTGGGATTTCAAATATTACGTCAATCAAGATGGATAGTGTAGTATCAAAGAACCAGTATCCATGAGCCTTGCAACTGGATCAAATCACCGTCACATATTGCATACTGTTGTTTGGGTCAGACAGTATATGTGATGGTGGTCCCAAACATTTGTATTACCTGCTGACGTGATTAGTATACAAGTTTAAGTATATTTTCAGAATTTGTCCTTGTTTTTCAGTGAAACAAGGCTTGATTTCATTTCTCTGTTTCATTTATGTTTTTACTCAACAGGAATATTAGAACCCTCTGTATCCCTGTTCAGTCCTTAAGATGAGGCTTTAAAACGTTTTTTCTGGTACAGTCTAAGGGCTCCATAAGTACTTATCACTACACGTAGTATGCACACTAATAGAAATAGGCAGCACTGATTATACTACTAGCAATATTTACTTTGGATGTAATATAAATTTGTTTCTTTCTGGTCTGACCTGGAAGCCTTGTCAAGACTTTAAAAACTGATTTGAAAATGATTTATTCATTTACTTATTTGAAAATCAGCATTAGAGAGAGAGAGGAAGAGAGAGGGGGACCTTGTATCTGCTGGTTGATTCTTCAGATAGCTCCAACAGCCAGGGCTGTGCCTGGTGAGGAACTGCATGTGGGATTCCCACATCATTAACCACCAATCTAAAATGTCTGGAACACAGTTTATTGTGGCTGACTCCAGTGTAACAGATATAATCCTGCTTTATATAGGAGTCTGGGTAAATATTATATGTACATGTAATTTTATTTTTTTACCTTTTAAATCTTATTCCTGTGCCAAATTTGTACACAAAACTCTGGAGAGTTTCATAATGGCAAGATTATTTTAAGAGGTGTTGCTTTGAAATTTGAGTGTGTAATGTTAATTCTATATCAGAAATGCTTCCATATTAGTTTTCATGTTGTACTTGCAGTGATAATTATGGATATTTTATGGGAGGCTCCAGTTTTGGTACAGTTAAAAACATAGAAGTCTATTCTTTATGACATGCCTTGAATATATTATAAATTTTCACTTTTGCTAAGGTACCTGAGGGTCGAGGAAAACTGCCAGCTAGATCAAAAGGCTGATGTATCACCTGTGGATGAAGATCGTAACTATAGAAGAAAGGAAATCTTGATCTATAGGTATTCAATGGCTTTTGTGTTGTGGCTATAACATGTGTAAAACTCATTTTGATTTTTAAAGGAATGCCTAAATGATCTCAATATTAACATTAGTGAAAGAAAAAAATAAATCAGATCTCTCATTTAGTTCTTACAGTGTGCTTGTATGAATTCAATTTTATCAGGAAATCCTCTTGGTGTTTTAATTAGTATTTTAAAATAGTATATTCCCATAATTATGTATTAATAGTAGGATAATTACTTTTTCTTCATAGAAAGAGAGTTGAAGATCTTGAACAAGAATTAGATAGAACCATTCGTAATTCTCAAAGATTGGTATGTATGTGTGTGTGTGCGTTCATTCATTCATATGGTTTTTTATATCAGTGCGTTTATATGGATTGAAAAAGAAATGGAATACATTGATCAGTTGTATGCCTTTCTTTTCTGTTTAGAGATGTTTTCACATTTCCAGGGATTCAAATAATGTGAGATAAAAAAATCTTAGAGTTCTATCTTCTTGGGAAATGAAACACATTGCACTCAACAGAAGAAAGATTTTAAAACATCAGTGGGGTCTCATAATAAAGCAGGGTAGTTGTCTGTGAAAAAGATATCTGTTATTGTGGACAATTATTCCACAAGAGCATACATAAAGTAGAAGTTTACCATTTAAAATCATTAATTACCTTTAAATGTATAGCAGAATAAATAATATATCCATCGATTTTTACATCAGAGGTGTTCATGACTTCGCAGTTGCTTGAAGTATTTTAGTTATTTCCAATGTTTATTATACATCTTATATTATAAAAAACATTTATTTTTTTGTTTGTTTGTTTTTAGATACTTTCTTATGAGAAAGAAGCACATATCAATTGGGTAAGTTTCAGACTGTCAGAAACATTTTGTCTGTGTTTAATTAAATTTTGCTTTTCTGTCAAGAACCTGGGCATGGAAATTGGTGAAAAAAGAGCTATGTTAGAAAAAAAAAAGGGAGTAAAATTATGTTGTTCTGATAAATAATACACTATTACATTATGGTTATTCATTCAATCTACTTTCAGCACAATGCTACTTCAGAAAGAACTTGTATTCTCCTAGGGGGTTAGAGAAACTTGGTGCATATTCTCATGTTTATGCATTTACATTTTGGGACATTGGATTGCCCCTTGTTATCTAGAAGGGCCAGAAAGGTCTCTGGACCATTTTATTAATTTGTAAAACAATGGGATTGGAAAAGGAGCTAGCTAAAGCCCTTCCTAGTTCTAAAATTGAGGGTTCTATTAAGTGATTCTCAGTGTTGGTAGGGATTAAGGAAAGGGTCATCTGGGGATCTAGTTGTCTGTGCTGCAGAGGAACTGCATGATGAGGAAGTGAAGTGGCTGTAAACTTGGAGCAGTTAGAAGGAAGAGCAGAGATGGAGCTGTTGACAGTAGCTGTCCGCTGGGAGTGCCTGTCACAGGGTGGTGGAGGCATCATGCCCTTTAGTTAAATGTGTTGCATCTGAAATCAGCCTGTCTTGGTTGTATGCTCTCTTTATGACAATCCCCTGTTTTTCTTACCTATGAAGTAGAGATACTAATAGTACTCATTTCTTGGTTTATTGTGACGATTAAGTAATATATGGATGTTTGTCAAGTGCTCGGCATGATTATGCATACGTAGAGTCTGGTGTTACCATTGTTACCATTGTTGTTACTGTGAAGATCTGTAGATGTTAGGCATCTCTGAGTGGAGCATAGCATGAGAGTGGTATCTATTTGTTTATGTTGTCCTGACCCAGTTACACCAGTTGTTATGTTTTGGAGATAAAGCAAAGGTCTTGAGCTCATTTCTTAATGTCCTCACATAAATAGCTATAATAGCCAATGTTCAGATGATGCAGAAAGGTGCCATAAAGTCATCCTCAATATCACTTTCATTGGATAGACTTTTTTAGCACTCTTAGACATATATACACACATATACCAACACATGTGCATACACACATATATACATGCACATGCACTTTTTGAAAACTTTGTAATGTTTATATACCAAATTGACAGGTGGAGGGAGGGAGAGAGACAATTAACCTTCCATCTGATGGTACCCTTTTCTAAGGATTTATTAATTTTATTTATTGGATGAGCTCATCTTAATCAATTGTGGACAGTTGGGGATTGAATGAGTGGGCAGAAGTGCTGTGATCATTTTAAAATGTTTTCAGAAATTTAGCCTTCTACATAGTTAACATATTTCATATTTTTCAAATATATGATTTTAAGAACATAATAAAGTTGCCCTTTACCTTCTTTCCTACATTGTTCACCCTTTCTTATTTTTCTTTCTACTTTTTCTTCATTTTCTTTGAAAGGGCAAAATTTTCTTATCCTTAAATAAATAATGGAATATATATTAAGTAGAAAAATTACTGTTCATGAGGAGTTTAGACAGAGACAATAAACATTTGTTCACAAATGTATTATTACTTCTGTTATTATGTCTGTTTGTGGGATATTGCCTCTGGATCTCTGCCTGCTAAGCGCATGCTGGAGGCCATAGGCACGTGGCACACCATGTTCTTGGCTGAGACCCCAAGCTCTCCTGTTCACTGGACGTGCAGCAAGAATGATGAGCTGCATCCCAGGCTCTCTTCTCTGCCCCTTTAATGAACTGTGCTAGGACTTCCTTTATAAACAACTCTAGGAAGTCAAATGTTACATTCATCCTGCTGTTCAGCAGGTAAGGAGTTTGCCCTGAGACACAGCCAGCTTTCTGTGCTTCCTGACCTTCAACTTTATTGGAGGGTTCAAAGAGACAGACATATCTAGCAGCGTGTCACAGTATCGTGGTTGGGTGGAAGTACTGTCAGGACCACCTTTCTACCTGCCCCTTTTCCTACCCTTTGTTAAGCGTGTGACTTCTTTCAAATAAACCGACATCCCCTAATATCAGTTTGTCTCCATTGTTTCTGCTGCCGAGGATCACGGTGACTTCACCCTTCAGTGATCTCAGGGCCTACTGAACAGAAGACCCCCGAGATTAGTTACCCCATGAAGTGATGACATGGCTTTTGGAAACTGATTGTTAAACCTGAATGTTCTCCATTTGCATGCATTTTGTTGTGAAAGATGTTTAAGACTTTTTTTACTTTTTTGCCTGAGTAGTATTCATGTGTGTGTGTGTGTGTGTGTGTGTGTGTGTGTGTGAGAGAGAGAGAGAGAGAGAGAGAGAAAGAAAATGTTTTAAAGTTATTTGAGGGCCCAGGGATAAAACCATTGAGTCAATCCGCATCTTGCATGAACCACGATTCCATAACGGTGATGGCTAATGACCTGCTTCTTATACTCCGTATCTAGCTCCCTGCTTGTGGCCAGGGATAACAAGGGAATAAGTCCAAAACCCTTAGAATTATACACCCATGTGGGAGAGCTGAAGGAGACTCCTGACTCCTGACTTTGGATGAGCTCAGCTTAGGCAAGTGTGGACAGTTGGGGAAGAACTTTCTCTCTTCGGTCCACTCATTCACTCCTTCCAATAAAGATAAATGAATCTTGGGCCTGGCGCTGTGGCCTAGTGGCTAAAGTCCTCGCCTTGAACGTGCCAGGATGCCATATGTGCGCTGGTCCTAATCCCTCCAGCTCTACTTTCCATCTGGCTCACTGCTTGTGGCCTGGGAAGGAAGTCTAGGATGGGCCAAAGCCTTGCCTTCCTGCACGCACATGGGAGACCTGGAGGAAGTTCCTGGCTCCTGGCTTCAGACCGGCACAGCACCGGCCATTGTGGTCTCTCAGGAAGTGAATCATTGGATGGAAGATCTTCCTCTCTGTCTCTCTTCCTCTCTGTATATCTGACTTTTCAATAAAAATAAATAAATCTTTTTTAAAAAAATAAGTGAATCTTAAAAAATTTTGTTTGAGTAAGAATTGCCAGGGAGAGAAGAAAAAGGAGAAAGAGACAAACAGCCCTGCGCATAACTGCTTTTGCATTAGAACCTACAGTGATTGTGGCTGGGCTGTGGCTGAAGCCGAAAGTTGGAATTCAGTCCACATCTCTCATGTAGATGGCTGGGGATCCAAATGATTAATCCATTACCACTGCTTCAGAGCGCATGACAAAGAATCCAGAACAAGGAGATGGAGCCATGAATTGAACCCAAGTTCTCTAAAGTGGGACATGGCTGTCTTTACTGACAGCTTGCCTTCAACGCCCAACAACAGCCCTTACTGTGATCATCCTTTGTGTCTTTACCCTGAGAGAGTTTCAAGTTCCATTAGTGAGTGAATGTCACTGTTTCCTTAGCAGACCTCTTAGAAGGCTTTGTAGATGTGAGTGCTCAGTGTTTGAACACAGTGTTTTGGAGTATAACATAGTCATTGGCTGAAATTTGTCTTAACCTTTGAGAATGAGCTGTAGACTCAGAAGTAGGTGGGCAGTTCATGTGGCAGTAAAGATGCTGCTTAGGATACCTGGTCCTCAGTTGGGCTGCCTGATTTAAGTCCAGGCTCCTCTGCTTCTTATCCAGCTTCCTGGAGCAACTGATGGTTGAAGAACTTGGTCCCTGACACCCATGTGGGAGACCCAGATTGAATCCTGGGTTCTTCTTTAGTCTGGCCTGTCTCTGGCTGTGTGGCTGATTAGGAGTGAATACATTTACGGAAAAAGATCTCTGACTCCTTGTCTTTCATAATAAAATAAATAATCTCAAGAATTTGCCATTAGTTTGTATAGAATTATTTTTCATATATATCCTTAATATTACTAGCTTATTACCTGTTATTCAATTTTGTCTTCTGTTTAACAAGCAAATGTGTTAAAATACAGTAAAGCATTTTGAAACAATGTGTTTCCACATTGTTAATAGTTTAATAAATTATGTATTTTCTTAATATGTTTTGGTATAGTTTTTTAGTAAAAGTTGATGACATCATTACATACTGGAAAAGTTTTTACACATGCATTATTTTTTGAAAGCAAGGCCTACAAATAAGTAAGATATCATTTTTGTAAATATTTATGTGACCTATTCTTTGGCCATTGCTCTTTTCAGCATGTACTTAAATTTTGATAAATATGAGTTTGGTATTATATTTTGATATTATATTTCTTTTAATTTGTGAAAAGCTGCATACTATGTTATTCTTTTTCTAATGTTGTTCTTTTAACTTGTAGAAAATTATAGTCCAAGTTATATTACCTACGTTTATATGAAAAGCTAGTAAAATTTTTTTTGGATATTGCTACCTTCCACAAAAATGCATGTAATCTGAGTTTCCTAAGAATAACATACTTTGAGTTTTAGCCTTTTATCAATACAAATGTAATGTGATGTACAGAATTCTGTTAGCATTATTGAAGCCAACAGACATTGATCATATCAGCTATATAAAAAGGTGTGTTCTTTACCAGCAAGCTGTGAAAGTGTTTTAGACCTTTATGATTTCACTGAATTGCAGTTTGTTTTCTCTAGAAATGATTGCCTTGAGGTAACTGACCAAACTTTCCAAGCTCTAGGACTCTAAGTCTTTTTTGTTTGCTTGGAGCTTGCATCCTTTTATATAGCCCTTAGCTTATTACTTGGCCAATCAAACTATTCTTGATCTTACATAGAGAGCACCATTTCTTGGCAGGTATTTGCTTACCTAAAACTCATTTATTTTTTCAATGATTTCTTAAATTCAATGTGTTTTACTTAGAATTATATGTGCATTGGCTGAGATATTTCTGCTGTCACTGTGATATTTCTGCTTATTTTCATTTAAATTTGCATAGATGTTTTAATAATATTTTGTTGTTTTTAAGTGGGATGCTTATACTGCTGACAGAAACCTGAATGACTTAAAGAAAGAAATGACTTCTGATATGCCAATGTGAGTATTTTAGTATTAACATTTTAA